CCTCATTTTTGACACTAGGGGGCAATGTTGTAATATAAAATCCCACTGTGGATGCATGTGGTGGGGTGAGAGATAGTTACCCATTAGCACCCAAAGGAAACACTTTAGACATCAGAATTAGTCCAAACCCTGAAACAAGTGGGCAATTTCCTTTGGAAAAAGAAATTTTATAATTAAATATTACAAAGGAAACCCAGACTCATAAACCTGGCATCACAGATGTAGAAGAACACAGGAAGGATGGGGTACACCTCAGGAAAAGAACCATTTAAGGGATAAGCCAAACCAAATTTAAAAGACCAAAGAAAAGGTTTTTTTTTCCCCTGTGTCTCATACTTCCTTCCCCGCCTTGAGCAATTCTGGGAAAACTGCCAAACTAAAAGAAACATTCTGAGGACAGGAAAACCGCAGACACGCGTCTTAGAAAAGAATTAAACCCATCAACCTCACTAGGTAGAACTTTTGTAACACTAACAAGACAGATATAAACCATATAGAGAAACACATTTGCATGAACAAAGAAATACTTCCCAAGGACAATATTAATCGCTACCCATCCAAACAGACACAAACTAGATGGAATTAAATGAACAATTTTGTTTTCAAAAGCCAAATCATAATCTCAATAACTTGAGGGGTATAAGAACAGGACCCCTCACCTTGGGAAACTACTACCTAGTCCAGAAACCATCCCTGTACCATTACTCCATCTGGTTTCTGTAAATAAACCTACTTTCTGGCAGCTTGCTTCATTCTGTGTCATTTCTTCCGCCTGAGCCGAAGGTCTGCTTCCCAGCTGGAGGCCCAAATCACGGAAAATCTTCCTACAATTCATAAAACAAATGCCATTAGATATTGTCTCATTCTGGAGGACTGATAATTATTATTTTTTAAAAAAATATTTTTGTATTATTCACTGAAAGGTTCTCAAGAAAATTTCACATCTCAGTGGGCTACAGTCTTCACAGTGAGACTGATATATATATATAAAATGGTGGATTGTTGGTTTTGGTCACCAGAGAAACTGTCTAGGTATTTCAAATCTTTGTTGGAAATAAAAACAAAATGAAGGGATTATATTATCATATTCAGTGAACATGTAAAACTGTTTTGGGGACCGGATATTTTTATTTTATTATTTTATTATAAAATCTAGAAGATTTTAAAGGATAAAGAATAATTGAAAGGAGAGACTTTTCTGTTTGTACTAATGGACAGCAAAAAAGAAAAGAAAAGAAAAGAGAAAGAAAATGAAACAAAAGAGAACAAAAGAAAAAAGAAAAGAAAAGAAGGAAGTCACATTACTCTTTAAAGCACCAGAGGAAAGGACAAGAAACAATGGTTGGAGAGAAGCAATTAATTTAGCAATTAAGGAGAAACTTCCTGACAGTGAGGACAATTAAACAGTAGAATAGCTTGCCTCTAGAAATCGTGGCACTCCATCACTGGGGATTTTTAAGAAGAGACTAGACAGTCACTTGTTCAAGATGGTATAGGTTCTCCTGCTTCAGCAGGGGGCTAGACTAGATGACCTCCAAGTTTTCAATTTCTTCTGAATCTCCTTCTATTCTATTCTATTCTATTCTATTCTATTCTATTCTATTCTATTCTATTCTATTCTATTCCATTCCATTCCACTCCACTCCACTCCACTCCACTCCACTCCACTCCACTGACTATTCTATTCTATTCTATTCTATTCTATTCTATTCTAACGAAAATTGAGAAAAATGCCTTCAAAATTCCAGTTTTACCTTCCCTGTTGGCAAGGTGATCTGACTTCTGAGAAAAAAAAAATGTATTTTTTTTCCTTTACTATCATGGCAGAAATCTGGAAATGAAACTTCAAAATAATCTTTCTAAATATCCAAACTGCCATTTACATATTGAGGAAACATCTGGACCCAAAGAATCTCCTCAGAGAATTGGTAAAATGTGTCCTCTCCTCAATTTTGATACTGGATGGCAATGTTGACACACAAAACCCCACGACCTATGGATGAGGGTGGGGTAGGGAATAAGTCAATTCTAAACAGATATTGTCTAATTTTGGAGGAGTGATAATTGGTTATTATTTCTGTAATTGTTCCCTGAAAATCTCTCAAGAAAATTCCACATCTCAGGAAGCTACAATCCTCCCTGTGAAGCAGTGAATTTTTATAAAAGGATGTGCATCATTTCTGGTTTTGTCATCAGAATAACTGTCAAGATAGTTCAAATCTTTGATGAAAATGAAAAAAAAAAATGAAAAGGGATGTTTTACCAGGTTTGGTGAACATGCAAAAAAGCTTTAAAAAATAACATTAGATATGTACACTAATCCAGAAAATTTTGAGGATAAAACTATAATTGAAAGCAGAGAGTTTTCTCTTTGGACTAATACATAACCAACTAGAAAAAAACTAATAAAACTTTGCTTTTATATATGATAACTGCAGGGAGACTATTACATGCTCACAAATGGTAAGACTCAACACCACCCACAATGCAGTGATAGAAAGTGAAGATGATAGAATCTTCACACTAAACTAAAATTCTGTGTTAGAAAATTCTTTATAAACTTTGCATGAAACAGAAAAAACATACAGTCATGATTTGCGGTTTTGATGATTAGAAAAAAATGGATAATAGAAAAACATGAGCTCTTTTTTGTAATTACAGTTAATATTATAAATGTGCTTTTATATGCTGCAGAAGAAATATCAAGATTCTTTTTTTCTGTTTCTTTTCAGTCTCATTCTGAACTCTAAAGTTTCCCTTCCTCCCTCCCTCCCTCCCTCCCTCCTTCCCTCCTTCCTTCCTTCCTTCCTTCCTTCCTTCCTTCCTTCCTTCCTTCCTTCCTTCCTTCCTTCTGCCCTCCCTCCCTCCTCCTCTCTCCATCCATCCATCCATCCATCCATCCATCCTTTCACAGATTGATTTATTTATTATATTATAGTCTACACTATGTGTTTCTGGTAACATTTTTAATTATTATTATTATTATTATTATTATTATTATTATTATTATTATTATTATTATTATTATTATTATTATTATTATTATTATTATTATTATTATTATTATTATTATTATTATTGTAACTGTTATTATTTCAATTTTTATGGCTGTCCATCTTGGCAAATCAACTCTGGACAAGTAACAGGCGATAAAAACACTGCACAAAGTAGCATCTAAAATAAAAAAAATAAATGATCTTGGTCTGCATTCAGCTCTTTTGGGTTTCTTCAAAAGGTCATTTTAAAGGGAAAAAATGTATGAAACCTTTCTTGACCTTAGATGTGCTGCTGTTTTCAAGTTTTCTAACATGCCTCTTTCAAATGTCCTTAGTTCAAGATTTGTTCTCTTGAATCGCTTTGGAGAAGTGGTAAAATTTTGCAAGTCTTTGTTTTTATTACTCTAATTTAAAGGTTGCTTTCACTTTTCTTAAAACGGAAAAGTTTTAAAGTTAAACCAAGACTGCAAGAAAACTACAAGGTGAATGCTCTGATGAGCTCTTTTATCTCAACCAATATGTAAATCGAGTCACAATTTCCCCTTTAAAGGAGCCAGTTGGTTTTCCTTTTAAGGCTACACCCACCAACACAAAATTGTGCATTTTCCTGAATTCTGTACTATCAATTTCTCTCAATTCATTACAGGGTGCAAATATGATTCTGTGGCTAAACATGGTGTCCCTACTAGCATTCCTCAGAGGTAATTGTTTCCTCTCTACGTATTCAGATTGTTTCCATTTTAATTCTTGTATACCAGAGAGTTTATTGATACACCTTTCTTTTTAGGTGTTCAATCTCAGGTCCAGTTGGTGGAGTCTGGAGGGGACGTGAGAAGACCTGGAGAGTCCCTCCGTCTCTCCTGCCAAGGTTCTGGATTCACCTTCAGCAGCTATTACATGGATTGGGTGAGACAGGCTCCAGGGAAAGGCCTGGAATGGGTTGCAAGGATAGGTACATCCTCCTCTCCAATACACTACTCAGACCAAGTCAAAGGACGTTTCACCATCTCCAGGGATGATTCCCGCAGCCAGCTGTATTTGCAAATGAACAATCTGAAACTGGAAGACACGGCAGTTTATTACTGTGCTAGAGACACAGTGAGAGGAAGTGAATCTGAGGCCAAGCAAGAACCTTCTTATCAGAGCAGCTGTTCAAATTGAGTTCCTTACAGAGAACTAAATTTGTGTAATTGGAGCAGCCAATAAATCTCCATGATGACAATTGGAAGTGCAGGACTGGTCTTGGAATAAGCAGTGTGGAACCTGGTTAGCAGTTTGGTAGGAAGAAAAAAAACAATCTATGGTCAGTATTTGAAACTGGGTACTTTAAAAAAAGTTAAAATTTATTTAAAGGTACAAATATGGACTCATGTCCCACAATTCATCCTTGATATATTTTGCAGTTCAGTCCTCTTTGATGCCCAGTATTAACAACTCTCCTTGGTTTAATTCATTTGTATATGTTGCTTCTTTTTCATTTCGCCTACATTAATATAATAATAATAATAGTAGTAAAGTTGGAAGGGACCTTGGAGGTCATCTAGTCCAACCCTCTGCTCAGGCATGAAACCCTATACCATGTCGGACAAATGGCTGTCCAGTCTCTTCTTAAAAACCTCCAGTGTTGGAGCATTCACTGCTTCTGGAGGCAGGTTGTTCCACTGGTTAATTGTTCTCACTGTCAGAAAGTTTCTCCTTAGTTCTAGGTTGCTTCTCTCCTTGCTTAGTTTCCACCCATTGCTTCTTGTCCTGCCTTCAGGCGCCTTGGAAAATAGCTTGACTCCCTCTTCTTCCCTTAATCCTGAAGGTCTGGCTGAGCCAAGGGAGGTAGACATTGGTCATTGAAAATCTCATCTCCAAGAAACTCTCTGGGACTGAACATTTTGGACAGTCTTCCTGCCTTGATAGCTTCAGCTACAACTTCATACCAGACAGAAGGGTGTCTTGACTTGGCCTACCTTCCACTAACAATTGGAAGTGAAAACAGGTAAAATCGCTCAAGCATCTTGCTTAACAGGGAAATAAAAGTGTATGTGTGTGTGTGGGGGAGAAAAATCTGACAGTTTCATCTTGTAGACTTTATAGTTTTGGATAAAAATCAGCCACAGAAAGTCCACATTGGAAAGCAAGATATACATTTATTCAAATGTAATCATTTCTATTGTCCTATGTGCTAATAGTTAAACGGGAAAGCTCAGGATAATCTTTCTAAATAGCTAAACAGCCATTCACAATTTTGAGGATACATCTGTACCAGAAAAAATGTTTCCCCTCGTCATTTTTCACACTGGGGGGCAATGTTGTCATACGAAACCCCATGGGTTATGCACACGGCTGGGGTCTGGTAGGGAATAAAACACGTTTCATTTATTTATTTATTTATTTTCCATTTTGGAGGCATGCTATTTTTTATGTATATTATTTCCATAATAGTTCAACCTAGAACTACAGAGAAACTTCCTGACAGTTAGAACAATTAACCAGTGGAACAACCTGCCTCCAGAAGCGGTGAATGCTCCAACACTGGAAGTTTTTAAGAAGAAACTGGACAGCCATTTGTCCAAAATGGTATAGGGTTTCCTGCCTGAGCAGGAGGTTGGACTAGATGACCTCCAAGGTCCCTTCCAACTTTATTATTATTATTATTATTATTATTATTATTATTATTATTATTATTATTATTATTATTATTATTATTATTATTATTATTATTATTGTTGTTGTTGTTGTTGTTGTTGTTTTTATTATTATTATTATTATTATTATTATTATTATTATTATTATTATTATTATTATTATTATTATTATTATTATTATTATTATTACTGTCCTAACCATGCAGTTGAGCAAAATGATTGATCTGGTGTTTGTCACCAGCAAAGCTCTAGAATGTATAAAGGAACAGCAGGAAGGGAATATTTATAAAGTTTGATGGACATGCAAAAAAAAAATGTTGTATACAAATACATGGACCTATTCCTATGATGTTAAATGTTAAAATTGAATTGAAGTCAGAGAGTTTTATTTTGGGACAAATGGAAAGGCAGCTAGAAAACGGTCTTTGTTTTTACATATGACATCTACAGGTAGACTATTATATGCTCAGAATGGAAACTATGCTCAGATGGAAACTAATGAAGGAGAGTGTTGTGTTCTTTTGTATTCCCCCCCCTTAATCCCCTATGCGCATCCTGATCACCCATTAAGGGTGATTGCCCTTCTCCATTGATCACCCATTAAGGGTGATTGCCCTTCTCCATCTGCATACAGTTTCATGCCCGTTGCTGGTTGGCTAACTAGCAACGGGGTCTTACCAGCCAATGGAATTGTGTGATTACAA